TATTATGAGAATATGTGCATAATATATATGATCATTTGTTAAAAGATCACAACAACAGTGGGGGGGGAGGGGCGAAGGTGGTGGCGTGTTCTAGTAACGATAATTCCTCTAGCTGTATACTATCCCGCGCGCGTGTACATTTCGCGCGTCACTGATGTTCGTTAACAGCACGCACACGCGCCGCTGTACGGTGTTTTACACTAAAGTATGGGCTGGGGGCAGGCTCGAGACGCCGTAGTCACGTGCACAGACAACAAAGCTCATCGAAACCCTCTTCTCTGGCTCATCAATCTTCGTCGTCGTCGTCGTCGTCGTCTTCTTCATCTTCTTCATCTTCCGTGTATAGGTACTCGCAATCGTCTCTCGCACCCTTGTAACAAAACACACTGATCGTACGTAAAATGCCCCATCCACGTACACTCGCTCTCTCGACGCACAACATCCATCGCCTATCTCCATCCATCTCGCAACGAACAATATTTAGCTACGCGTATATATAACAAAACTGCCGCAAACCCGTCGAAGATCGAAGTTGAAGAAAAATAGGGCCTCGATGATTGTTGTTGTTGTTGTTGTTGTTGTTGTTGCAGTGAAACCGGTGGTCGAAGAAGCACCGACTCGCCAACAGGCAGGCGACAACGTCTCACATTGTACGAGCATACGCGTGGACAACGACAGCAGGAGGATAATACATAACCAGGGTCCAGGCCACGGGGCGATTTCGACGATGCGCGCGATCATCATCATCAACAATCACGCGCTAGCTCAGTTCTTCCTTTTGGTTTTGCTGATGAACCTCGTCCTGTGTTTGACCGGCACTGGCACTGCTGCTGGTTGTTGTTGTTGTTGTTGTCGTCTAGGTAGCAAGTTAGCTCCAGGACTGATACGAGTCCTGGTACCACTCGTCGTCGGCCTGGGCGGAGTTGTTGGGGCCGCCCGAGGCTCCGCCACCCAGTTTATCGGCCGCCGAGCCTGCCTGGGCTGTTGATGATGATGAGGTTTTGTTGCCACCGCCCCCGCCACCGTTCACACTCGCCATTGCGTACGCATTGCCGCCCAATGGTTGCTGAGCGAGGGGCTGGTTCCCCCAGCTGCTCTGGAAGCGACGTTTAGATTCCCCCTGGTTCTGGTGACCCCCGTCAAACTTTCGCTTACCTGCTGCTATTGGTTTTGCCGTTCGATTGGGCCCACCGTTTAGATTGGTTGGTCGATTGGTTGGTGGAATATGGTCATTCGAGGCAGCGTCCGTGGTTTTATTAATCGGTTAGCAGGAAACAGAAAAAACAGACACAGGGGAGGGCGTGCAAAAAGTACGCCGTCAGATCAGTTTGTCGTTACAATCAGGGATGGATTTTTTTTTTTTTTTCTATGATTGCTCGAACGCTAGTCAGGGTGCGTTTGGAAGCCGTAAGAGCGTGTCTGAGCCCAATGAAAGAGCGAGAGGTTGAAAATTAAAGAAAATAATTTAAACAACAGCTTTTCACCTCTCGTTCGTTCGTGGATACTCTGGTGCGTTCTTGCGCTTGTCGTGAGATTTAGCCGAGTAAACGCACTCTCTGGGGTTTTTTTTTTTTTTTTTTATTGTGAAATTTTTGTGAAAAAAGTAGATTGTTTTTTACGTGAAACGAAAAAGAAAAAAAAAGAAAAAAATCAAAGATATTCACTCGAACTCGTCAACCTTCTTTCGGTCCAAGATTTCTGAAAATCCTTAACAAGCGAAAATTTTCAAAAATCTCGCCAGCCTAAATCACCGCGCGCTTCCCTCTCCTGCCTCATCCACGTGCCATTACAAACAAATCTGCCTCGCTTCAACTCTTGCACTCTCGCTCTCGCTCACATAGATTATACAAACTAACACGCGCTCGCTCGTTTCCGTCACGCGCGGAAAGAGGGAAAAAGAAGCTTTGCTTGGCGTCTTTTTTTCCCCTTCTTTCCCTTTTTATTACATCTTAAAAATCCGGAACGAAAATATATATCATAAAGAAAAAACAAATTTCATCATCTGCCACCTCATTCGCCGAAACAACAAAATTTCGTGTCCTAAATATATAATAATAATAATTACAATTTGGAAAAAAAAAAAGAAAAAACAAGAAAACTTGCTTTGCGACGTGTCCTATACTTAAAACTCGACCGTGTAGTTCATAATTTTTCTTCTAAAATTTTTACACCCCTTAATTTCCGGGGATGCGACGCGCGATTAACAATTTTATCCTCCGAAATCGGCGTCTTATTCTAACTACTACATAAACCTCTACGTCGAGAGTCTCTTAGCGTCGCAAATTCCTACAACATTTTACTTTTTTTTTTTTCTTCTCCTTCCTTTCCTACTTCGCAAATTATATACTCCGGTTTCGAGAATAATGCGCTGATCTTCGCTTGGCAGTGTTATATATTATTCTTGTTTTGTTTGCGTGAACGCGACAATGCAGTTGTGGTATAATGTTTAATCAATTGTTTTTTCATTTTACTTTTTTCTTCTCCATTCACTTAGTCAATTACACATTGTAAAATTAGTTAATATTTATCATATATCATTGTAAATATAAAATATTAATGTTAGTACGGGGTGGGTGGGCGGTCACTCCGATCGTATATAATAATACAGTCCCAGTGGCACATCACTGTACAACTAATACATTATAAAAAAATTTTCAAAAAACGTAGATCACCAATTTGCTGCACCGAATTGAAAAAAATTTGGTATTATTTAAACTGAAATACATCTGAAAAAAAAAATTTAGTTCAAAAACAACAATACGTTGCTCGGCAAATTAAAAACTATTTTTTTTATCAACCAAATTTTTATAATCGGTGCAACGGCGATAAAAAAAATGCAAGTTAGGGTGTCGCGTGTATTTTTACAATCTGTGATTATTATTATTATTATTCGATTTTGGTGTAGCCTATCGTCATTATTTTCCCATTGAAAATTCTGCCTTTTTCCTGCGATCCGACCGAATATTTTCCATCTTTTACAATCAGTTCCAGTCTCTTACTTTTTATTCAATCCCAATTCTTTCATCTATTATTTCAAAGTTGTCTTTCTATGGTGGGTGTGCATCGAAAATACTATTGCAATTGTTCCAGAGGAGTAAAATTTGTTTTTTTGTTTTTTTTTCAACTTCATTTTTGGTATTTACTTTTTTTTGGAAAATATGTTTCATTGTACTGACCGTACCAAGTGAATTTAATTTTTCTAAAAAAATATCAATATAGAACAAACAAGATTTTTTTTTAAATATTCAAAAAACATACAAACAACACGAATAAACAGCCGTCGTGACTGCATTCGACACTATTTTCAATATATATATATAATTTTTTTAAAAACTCGATGGCGCACCTTCTTGAAGTCTCTGTGTCTCTCCTGCCTCGCGAAACTCGACCAACAATCTGTTCACTTTCCACATCCAACAAATGTATTTATTTTCTATCGAAAGAAACGCGTCTCGAGAATTTTTTTTTACCATCTCTACAACAAAACAAAACATAACTTCCATCAAACGTTAGAATTGCAAAAAAAATTTCCGTCTAGCATCGAAAACAAAGAGAAAATTTTGAAGACGAGATTTCTCGTTATTCGGATACTGCGTGCCCTTTTGTTCAGCTTTTTTCCGAACGAAAAAAAGGTTTTCATCACTGTTTTTTTTTCCTTTTTTTTTTTTTTCTTTTTTATTTATCGTACAAGTGGATTTTGTGCTCTTGTTCCCTCCAAAATCGAGTCACAAGCAAAAAACCAGCAACAAGCGCATTTCGGATCTTCGTCTCCAAAAAATAAGCCACTTTGATGTCCCGTCTCTTTTGTTCTCCGTCTTTTGTATTTTTATCGATAAAAAAAAAAAAAACAAAAAAAATAAAACACCATTGAACGAACCCCGCAGAGACACCGTTCGCAGAGACGACTAAAATTCGTGTGTCAAGCGTTGCAAACGCGCTCTCTCACACGGTCTATCGTTCTCTCACTTTTCGTCGTGATTTATTTAATTACTTTTTTTTTCCTATTTACTTAACTCTCTCTTTTTTTTCTCTATCGTCGTTTCGATAAAAAAATCCGCTATCCCGTCACACGACTTTTATCTGTTTTGTTTTTCAATTACGCGCTTTCCTGTACTTTTTTTTTTTAATAATCGTCTGACCCTTAATAATAATAGTTTCACTGACTGTACATATTTTTATAGACCAACAATAGAAGGTCTAGGCCGCGCTTGGCGCGCGCTCTTCACGCATACGTTATTACACACGCGAGCACACTTTGTAATCAAAGTCACTCGCTATTTTTTATTCTACTTTATATTTTGTTTCCTTCAATCGCCTAAAACTGCTCAGTACTCGTTTTCATTTAATCTTAAATTTTTCGAACTTTGAGTTCTATAATGCCCTGTCGCTTATGCAATCTGCCGACAAAGCTTTTATATAAATCGCGCCCTGAACGTCGAACCTATCGCTAAACTCGCATTGTCGCGCGGAATACGACTAGAAAGAATCAGACGGAACGAGTGAATTTTGGTTTGTCATTTGTATTTGCGACATTTTTTTTTTTTNTAACAATTTTGTAACATTTTTAAAAAAACTTCGTTATGATTTGAAGATAAACAATAAATGAGCAAATAAATATAAATAAACAAATAAATGAATAATCAAATCAAGAGATTCAATAAGTTTGTAGTGACAAAATAGTCAACTAATGTGGGAATAAAACAAGATAAGATTTGTACACGATTCAAGGAGGACAGTCATATGTTTAAACGTCAAAAAGAGACAAACATACCTCTCTGACGGCTTTTTGCGCAGAATCTCTATTTGTAAATGTTATAAAGGCATATCCTCTGTTTGTACCAGTCATGGGGTCCATCATTAACCTGAGATCCCAAATCTTGCCACAATCTTCAAACAGAGGTATTAATTCATCTTCAAACATGTCTTTTGGAATTTTTCCACAGAATACCTGTAGACAAAAGCAATAAAAATAATTATGAATTAATAAAAGAAAAAAAAAAAACCACAAATTATGAGTAAATTTTTATGCAAAAAAAATCTCCCAGTCTTACTTCACAACCAGTGCCAGGTGTCGGACCTTCCCAGTCTGGTGGTGGACCTCCGTACTTTCTCTGACCGGTAGTGACATCCAAAGGATAGCCAGTTCTTGCGAGTATCATCTGGAAAATTGAGATTCAAAATACACGTAACCCCAACAAAACAACAGAGGGGGAAAAAAAAAGTCACGAACGCACCTTGATTTTATCTTCATCAGGTGCTTTGGGCGTTGTACTGCTGGTACTACTGGCTGTGCCTTGACCAGCGCGAGTCTTTTGTCTGTAGGTCTTCATAACACCGCAAAGATACGCCGATTTGTTGGACACGTGCTCGAGATTTGATTCCAAGAACTGCGTGAGAACATTAAGCGCTCCGTCAACGGGAAACTCTTTGAGCGCGTCCAGGGCCCTCTCGTCAAGGTCCACGTGGGCTAATTTTCCGGTCTTGTAAATTTCGTCGAGGTTACCGGCGACCTTTTCGTTGAGCCCGTATTGTATGAGCTTGGAGTAGTCTTCCGTTCGCTCGGTGTACTCCATGTCGTCTTTCGACTGTTTGTCCTCTGACTTTATTTCCCCGTTCCCCTCGGCCATGTCTACAGGAATAGTTGAAATGCAAAAAAAAAAAAAAAAAAAAAAAAAAAAAAAAAAAGAGAGA